TTTTTGGCACGATGACGGGACAGGGATGAAGCCACTTATAGAGCGCATTGGGGCTGCAGGCCCTCGTGCTCTCAGAAATCCCCTATATGCTACTGTCGCTGAGGCTGTTAGAGGTTCAAACTGGAATTTTCCCGGAGCTCGATCTTCGGCAGTCCAAGTTGTGTTATCTAGGATCACAACCATTCTTCCTCCAACAGTGGATGCTGGCCCAGACAGATTCGAATGTATCAAATCATACCAATTTATTATTTATTTGGTACAAATTGATGAAATCTATATATATTAATAAAGGAGTTTAAAGAGATTTGGTGAAGCCACCTCATCTCCATGTCATGATACATGTGTCAATTTTTTTTCCCACCTCATATTCTATATTATTATTTTTAAATCTTTATTTATCTATTAACTTCTTCATTAGTTTATTATATATTTTTAAGATTATTATAATAAAGATTTCTTACACATTTATATATGATAATTTAACACTAATTTTAAATATAAAAATTTTATAAAAATATGTGATATGTGTAATAATAATAATAAATATCAATAGATTAGTTAAAAAAGGAAAACGTTTATTTTTATTATATATAAATATTTTATTTTGACCTTAGTTTATATATTACATCATCATCCTATATGGCATATTTTAAAATTTTATTGATTTTTATGCATCATAAATAATTATGGTATTATATTAATATGTAAAGTAATCAATAAATTGAATTAGTTTTATATATTAAAATAATATTCTGAAAAAATCATGTTTATAAAAAAAACAGATTTATTTTTACGTTTCTTACATAAAGATTTAATTTTTGTGTTTAATTTTATATATTAAAATCTATATATGAAAATTTATGTTTGTTGCATACGATTTTTTTTAAATAGTGAATGAGAATCTTAGGATGTATTTTATTTAATTTGATTAATATATAATTAAAATATAACTTTATAAACATTAAATAATTAAATAAAAAATAGAATTATTTTTTTATTAGCCCACTAAATCTAATTGTTATTAGTGTAAATATAAATCTTCCTTGAACCTGACGTCTTAGCTTCCTCATTGAATACAATACCATAATTATAGGAGTGTACTCGGAGTGGTGTCTTGAACTCGACGCCATTTTTTGAAATTTAAATCATAGATTTGTTCGTAACGGAGTGTTGTTTTGAATCTATATATATTAATAAAGAAGTTTAAAGAGATTTGGTGAAGCCACCTCACCATCCTACATGTCATTTTGTTTAATTTTGATTGGTTATATAAACAAAGATGTTTAAAGAGATTTGATGAAGCCACATCATCATCCTACATGTCATTTTGTTTAATTTTGTTTGGTTATGAATAAATTATGATTGAATTAAATGAAAAAATTTTAATTTAAAATATGAAAAAGATTAGTAATTTTAAAATATTAAAATGATTTGTCTAAAATAAATAATTCAGAATTAAATAAAAACTTTTAAAAATAGTTGAATGATGACAACACATAATAAAATATGGAAATTAATAATAGTTAAATGAGAAACTTTTAAAATATGAAAATGATTAGTCCAAAATGAAATTATAAGAATTAAATGAAAAACTTTTAAAATTAGAGAAATGATGGATCTAAAATAAGATGTTAAGAAAAATTAATAAAATATAATTAGTCTTATTAAAAGGTATTGTAGTTTTATTTATTTCTAAAATCATCCTATATGGTATTTTTCAATTTTTATTAGTTTATATTTAAAAAATAAAATAAAATCATACGTCCCAAAAAATATTCATATACCTACTAAAAAACCGTAACAATAATTATCAGCACATTAATCACCACATTAATTATCTAGAATAAATAATATTTACTGAAATAAAAATTAGAAAATTCGACAAGTCGGATCGTATCCCCTAATAAAAGCCAATAAGAGTGGTAAAGAATATTCATTACAATTACTCTTTACTCTTTTTTCTAATTAATTTCACTTTATTGTATTTGTCCTATTACTACTATATATATAACACCATATGTTACGATTGACTCAATCCAAGAAAACAACACCCGATTTGTGTAGCCAACGCCATTCAAGAACGAGAGAGATGGAGAAAACAGAAGAAACACGAGGGTACGTAAAGATAGAGATTTATCGGTTTAAAAAAAGTCTATTCATTATGTAATTAAGCAGTGTTGGTTCTCAGGGATGGTGTTTGTGTGATTAACCAAATATTAATATAAAATTTTATTTAAATTTTATTTAAATATAGG